CAGGGTTGCCCCTCGGGGTTCGTCCCTGCCCCGCTCGCCGGGCTCCCCTCGGGGCTGGCCCCGGGCAGAGGGGACCTCGCCGTCTTCGTCTCGCTTGGTGCCATCCCGCGTCCCGGGAGGCAGCTGCGTGGGAGAGCCCCGTTGCCGAGGGGCTGCGGCCATCCCCTCTGTTGACAGGGGGTCTCGGGCTGCTTAGAGACGAGCTGCGCGCTTAAAATTAAGGTTTTATGGCTAGATTTTGCGTTGGCCGCAGGGACGCAGCGTCTGTGGTAAAGAGGAGGGTATCTTCTGCCTTGGCATTGAGCCACCTTTCTACTGCCTGCCTCAAGGTCTGTCATATTTCCTGGGTGAACAGGTTTCCTCGGTCCTGGGGTTGTGCGAGACAGGTGGTCAACAGCCACTGCTTGTACACTTGGCAGCCTCTTCTGCACCCCATGTTCCTCCTACGTACACGGGGAGTGAAGGTATTCTGATGCTGTAGTCCTGGGTAGGATATATGTTCAGTGCAGATAGAACAAGAGTGTTGTGCCTTTTTACTAATATTTTTGTCAGTTGGTTTTCTCCTGTGTTTGGGTTTTATCTGGCTGTTAGCTATTTAGGCTAGCACATTCCTCACTTATTGTTGTGTTCCACTCTAGATGTATTTCTGTAAAAGGATATTCATGGTTACAAGCAAAGATGAAAAATGTAGGAATACTAATAAAGGTTTTGTTCTCTTTAGGTACAAGCAGCTCCCCAACAAGTGGCTGAAGACAAGTTTGTATTTGATTTACCAGACTATGAAAACATCAACCATGTAGTGGTCTTCATGCTGGGAACTATACCATTTCCAGAAGGAATGGGAGGATCCGTCTATTTTTGTTACCCAGACCAGAATGGGATGGCAGTGTGGCAGCTACTGGGATTTGTCACTAACGAGAAGCCAAGTGCCATCTTCAAAATTTCTGGTCTGAAATCTGGTAAGACTGGTAGAACACGTGAGTCAGTGGAACAGATGTGTTCATGCATGCATAAAGGGATGGATGTTTGAAGGTGGTTTTGAATGAAAAGCTACATGAATGAAAAGGCAGACCACCATGTGTTTTCAGATAACTTGAGCAGCCTGTAAGCTTCGTGATGTCTCTCTGTGTGTTCATGTTCCTAGTGAAATTTATTACCCTTCCAAACCCCTAACATTCTGTGGTCTTCTCTTGTTTGTGGTGTTGAGCTCGAAATTTCTGTGATCAGGCTTGGCACATGTTCCGGTGCTTCTGCCTAGAGAACCTGAGGAAGAACAGCCCTGTAACTTCAATAATGTGGTTTTCAGGCATTTGTCTAGACATGCCTGCTGCGGCTTCTTTCAGCTTCCACGGTTAGCAGTTGTATTCTTGGTAGCAGGGAGGCAGCAAGGAGTGGAGCCTGACACAGTGATTTTGTTCGGCGAGCTGCTTCCTGTTCCGGTGCAGCTGCTGTGTGACGTGAGTGCCCAGTAGAGGGTGTTGGCGTGGGAAAGCAGCTGTCCAGATGTTTGAGTATTTTTCGTGGAGACCCAGGTCAGAGAAGTCTGATTGATATGTGAGCCAGAGAATTTTCTAAATATATGGGGGTTCTGCCATGCATATTATAGAAATGAAGCACCCAAATGACACACTGTGGTATTACAGGAATGGATATGGCAGTCAAGCTGCTGAAAGTGTTACAGTGATAAAGTAATACACATCTTCTGTAGGTTTCAGTGTAGTCTATAGCCTGAACTTCCACCTCTGTTTAGGTAAGTGTTGATTTTGCTGTGGTTTGACCTGGACTGGGGAGAGAGTTGGGTGTGGAGGAACCTAGGGAAGTTCAACAAGGGTAAGTGCAAGGTCCTTTACTTAGGAAGGAATAACCCCATGCACCAGTACAGGTTAGGGGTTGATATGCTGGAAAGCAGCTCCATGGAAATGTGAGTCCTGCTGCATAACAACCATAAGCCAGCAGAGTGTGCTTGTGGCCAAGAAGAGCAGTAGTATCCTGGGGTGCGTTAAGAAGAGTGTGACAAGGGAGGTTCTCCTCCCTCTCTACGCTGACCTGGTGAGGCGACATCTGGAGTACTGTGTCCAGTTCTGGGCTCCCCAGTTCAAGAGGGACAGGGAACTGCTGGAGAGAAAGTCCAACAGAGGCTACGAAGATGATGAGGGGACTGAGGCACCTCTCTGATGATGAAAGGCTGAGAAACCTGGGGCTGTTTAGCGTGGAGAAGACTGAGAGGTGATCTTATGAACGCTTACCAGTATCTAAAGGGTAAGTGTCAAGAGGATAAGGCCAGACACTTTTTAGTGGTGCCCAGTGACAAGGGGCAGCAGGCACAAGCTGGAACACAGGAAGTTCCACCTAAACATAAGGGGTGAAGAAAACAAAATTCCTGTGAGGGTGACAGGGCACTGGCACAAGCTGCCCAGAGAGGTTGTGGAGTCTCCTTCTGTGGAGACTTTCTAAACCTGCCTGGATGCTTTCCTGTGCAGCCTGCTCTGGGTGACCCTGCTTTAGCAAGGGGGTTGGACTAGATGAAATCCAGAGGTTCCTTGCAACCCCCACCATACTGTGATTCTGTGATTAAATGTATAATTTAAAAGGTGGCACACTTTCTTTTGAATCATTCCTGAATGGCAGTTTGACATGCTATAAGGAGTAATGCAGAGCATTATATATGTTCCTCAAAAATTTGGGCTTTCTTCAGAAGAGAGAAAGGCCACAGAATAGGATGGGGAGGGGAGTGGTTTTGTATGTACTGAAGTTGTCTTGTTAGTGAAGCAGTAAAGTGTATCACTGGTTCTTTTGTAGTATGTTTTTCATGCTTGAAAGACTTACTGTGCTACAGATGCTTTCAGACAGCCTTGCAGGAAAACACATTTTCAGATGCTTTTTGCGTGATTAGCCGTGACTTGGAGGTGAGGGCTGCTCTCAGGAAGAGGTCTGTGCCACGGCTGAATGCATGTGCAGTGCTGGGAGGCAGTGCTGTGTTCATCTGAGCTCTGCTGTTCCCATTGTTGCCTCCTGCTTGTCTCTGACTGTAGAGTCAGTATGAGATATATAGCCGTGGGCTCTGTGACCATAAACAATTGTGTGATGGAGAAGACTATGAGGCTGTAGAAAGGGAAGACCAGAGAGGGACCACAGAGAGCTGGAATCAGTGAAAGACATTACTGACCATTGAGATCTGCGTTTTGAGTTGAATCCCTTGATGAGAGGAGCAAATTGTCTCCCTGTTTGTCAGCTCCCTGTGAAGCAGTGGTTGTAGCAGTTTCTTGTTTTATGATGAGGAGGGCCAGCATGTAGACAAGTGGCCAGCTCAAGTGGCAGTGTGTTTTATTATCCAGACTTTGGGAAAGGATAAATGTATGTTAAGCTTATGTTTAGTATCTGGTATGCCCTGGAACTGTTCAGGTTTTGTCATGTCTGTAACCTGCCCACGTTGCAGGTAGCTGTAAGAACTGGTAGAGTTGTTAAGTACAGTGCCTGGGAATGTGATACTGGACTTCTGGACTATGAGGGTCAAGTATAATGGTGTTGGCTCATTGTTTTTGTTTGCTTCTGTCAAGGATTAGGGCTAGGCTGGCCACTAGACCAGTGACAGATGCTCTTATTACCCCCTCTCCCTTCCCAAAGGTGAAGAGAAAGAGAATAAGGGAGAGGGACTTAGGGATTGGAAAAGAAAACTAAAACCAGCTTTCATGAAAATAATGACAATTAAGTGAAATACATACAGTATATACAAAACCCATCTTGAGCACAGCACCCCCCTCCCTGATGGCAATTGTATCACCATCACCACTGATGCTGTGGAGCAGGCACTGGGCAAGTCCCAGGCTGGACTTGGCAGCAGATGGGAACCGGATTCAGGAGGTGGATTCTGGAACTGGATTCAGGAACACACCAGTTGGCATCAAAGGCAGAATGGACAGAGTCGGCCTCGGATACTGGCCACTGAAAAAGAGGCTTGACCCTTGTGATCCCTCAGCTTTATGCCAAATATGACACATGTGGAGTAGAATCCCTCCCTGGTCATTTAGGGTCACCTGTCCTGTCTGCTCCTCCCTGCAGGTGCAGCCTCTTGCTTTGCAGACTGCCCAGTGTGGCACACGGGGATTTAGCAGTGACCTTGACCTTCACAGGAGCAAGTGTATAAACAGGAACCTTTCTGCACATCAATCCTTGGTAGTAGCTCTAAACATTGAGCATCACCACTGCTAGAACAACACCCTGTCAGCAAATCTGCCATGGTTTAGACCCAGCCAGGAGCTGGGCACCACATGGCTGCTCGCTCACCCCATCCATTCCCTGAATGGGAAGGAGAAAAATATAAAACCCTGTGGGCTGAGATAAGGAGAATTTAATACAGCAACAAAAAGGAGCATTAAACCACAGTAATAACATATAAAGCAAGTGATAAAAAGGATAGACCATGTTAGCTGCAAATGGAAACAGCACCATGAGTCCAGACTCTCTCCCAAAACCCCTGTGTTGGCCCCTATGTCATGGGCATGACGTCAGCATGTTATGAAATAACCCATGGGTTGGGCTGGTTGGGTTGTCTATCCTGGCTCCACCCTCCCCACACCTGGTGAAAATTAACCTTATCCTGGCCAAACCAGGACAACATTCCATTAACTACAGAAAGTGTAGTTACTTAGAAGAGACTTAACTGAAAAGTAAAATGACTGAACAGAGTTAGTTGTAGTTTAACTCAAGCCAGGACAGCTTCCCCCTGCTTCATGTCCCACGCTTACTTAGGAAGGCCAATGCAGGTGAACATGGCAGTGTTTCAAAGTGGGATACCAAAGATTGTCTCAATACCTGAAATAAAAGGGGAATTGCCTTTCTGGAATAGGGTCTTCAATGTAAAAGTGATTTGTGGAGTAGAGACTGAATTATGAACCTGGACAGTTTCCTTGACAATAGGTGCTATTTAAACTCGGGTAACCTCTAAACAGCAGATTTCCAGTTGGGTCTTGAAGGTGTTGCACAGGATATCACAGTACCCTCTAAAAGATTCCTTTAGAGCTCCTCTGTAAGCAGGAAAAATTTGTTGAATTGTATTTCCTAGTAGTCTTGGGCCTGGAGAATCAATCTTTAGAAGAATGCCATTGCTGCCAGTTGTTGGTGGCTTGTCTGTGCTTTTTAGATCCGGGGAGGAATGATGGCTGCTAACACTTCAGTGCATGCAGTTGCCTATTCTCCCCTGACTTCATGTTTTCCTGATTGAGAGTAGATAAGTTCATGCAGTTGTGCATAAAGAAGGGGCTTAGAAATACTCACATTGGAATTGTAAGGGGTTTTATTTCTCAGCTATGCCTGAAAGTGTGGTGAAAACAGAAAGCAAATCTTGGGCTGGGATTTTGCACCCTTACCGGAATTAAGTTGACAGGAGGGATAAAAGTTGCAGGGATAAAAGGCAGCTGGTGTGAGGGTGGCAGGGGGTGCTTTTCTCTCACCCTTTAAGATGGACACTGGTTCCATGGGAGTGTGTGCAAATGGCTATATTTTATTATTTAGATTATGCGTGTCATTCTAAAGTAGTGATACATTCTGATGGAGCCTGTTGCTTGAGGATGTTGTATTTTTATTGTAAATATCAGCTTCTCAGGTGATTTTACAAGATGTAAAACTTCTACCAGCTTTGTTGCTATCAGGACTTTTAATAATGAACATGTGTGATATTTGATTTCTAATAGCTTTTCTCTTTCTGTCTTAATACTTTAATAATTTTTACTTTTATCAAGCAAGCATCTACCTACAGTAAAGGTTGAGCTCATACAGCAGTGGCATCTCTGGGAAGAGCTAAATAGCACTTCAGGAGGTGAACACTCTTCTTATTGGCCTTGTGTTAAAGTGGCAGTTTAATAGCAAAAGCTTTGTCACTATGTGACAGTTGTAGTGTCTGGCATGAGTAGTGACACTTGGCTTCTGTTGAAAAGGGTGCTGGGTTTGTGAATGTGCTTTCCATACAGGCTGAACGTTGGCTTCTCTGTGGTGGTGCCTCGTGTCCCTGCAGAACAATGGTCAAGTTTCTAAGACCTTCACTGTTGAGCTTTGTTTCAATTTCCAAACTTGAGCTATTTTTTGCTGGCTGAGTTTTTGACCATGAAACCAAGTCAAATGGTGCTTTAGATTTCAGTTAGCCTTTTCTGCAGCTCAAGGTAGAGTTGACTGGTCTGTAGGCCAGCTCTTGATTAGCTTTGCTTTCTCCTCCTAGTAAGAGGCTAGAGAGTGCTACTGACAAATGACTTCTGTGTTAAGAGGTACTTGTCTGTTGTGTTCACTCGTACTTTGGTGAGTTATTAGTATTTTTTTACTAACAGCAGTGTGGTCCCCAAGGCCCTTTTCCTGTATTTTCCTTTACAGTTGTTAACAGAGAAAGGCATGATTGAAGTGACTTGAGGTGTCTGTCATTGTTTGCAGAGACCCTAGCTGAAGCTGGCACTGAAAGTACTGGTTAATACTGGGCTGAGAAAGGTCAGAAGTGATGACAGGAGGGCTGGGTGGTGCCTTCAGGAGTGGTAAGCAATTTGGGGGCGTTTCTCTGCCCACTTCATTGTTTCCTGGCTTGTATCAGGAATACCATGTGTTGTATCCGAAGTACGTGATCAGCAGGACTGGGGGAGTGATTGTCCCCCTGTACTTGGCGCTGGTGAGGCTGCACCCCAACTACTGTGTTCAGCTTCAAGCCCCTTGCTACAAGGAGGTAAAGGTGCTGGAGCGTGTCCAAAGAAGGGTGACAAAGCTGGTGAAGGGTCTGGAGCACAAGTCTGACAACAAGCAGCTAAGTGAACTGGGGCTGTCTAGCCTGGAGAGAAGGAGGCTGAGGGGAGACCTCACTCTAGAACTTCCAGAAAGGAGGTTGTAGTGAAGTGGGGGTTAGTCTGTTCCCCCATGTAACAAGCTATAGAACAAGAGGAAGTGGCCTCATTTTGCACCAGGGGATGTTAGGTTGGACACTAGGAAAAATTTCTTCACTGAAAGGATTGTCAAGCCCTGGAATGGGCTGTCCAGGGAGTCACCATCCCTGGAGGGATTTAAAAGACATGTAGATGTGGTGTTTAGAGACATGGTCTAGTGGTGATCTTCCAGCTGAAGCAACTTTGTGATTCTTTGTGGCTCTTGCAAAGTTGAGAGGCCTTTCTGTTCCATGGCTGTTTATTTGACCTGTGGTGTGTGGTTGGTGGTTTTGAGCAGTTCAGATGAGACCTGGGGCTGCCCAGCCCTCCAGAGGGATAGTTTTGAGTCAGAGAGATCTTAAAGTAATATTTCATATTTGTCAGGGCAATAACCAGGTTTGGAGTGAGTGAATCAAACAGTTCTGCAGCAGTGCTGCAGGTTTCCTGTTTATCTGCAACTGTTAGTGTGAAGTAAAGCCTTGGTGCCTGCAGAGAAAGGTTCTGCTGGCTCTTACTCACAGCTTGTACTTTGTGTTGAATCCATTTACTGCATAGGGAGATTTAAAATTGTTTTTCCCTTTTTTTTTTTTTAAGAAATGTCCGTAAGACCTGCTGTGGGTTTTAGGTGTGCCTGTCACAGTGTTTTGTCTGTTGTGCTTGTGCCTGTATTTGGACTGTGCCATTTTTCTGTATTCCTGAGATAGGGAGATCTCTCTGGTGGGGGCTGAGGGTTACCTTCTGCAGAAGAAACACTGTGATGTAAGTAACACAGGCCTTACCTGAGTGCCAAATGTAACATGTGCTGGTTTTGGTGCTTTCAGGGAAGGGAAGTCAACATCCCTTTGGTGCCATGAACCTCCCCCAGACACCAACGGTGGCCCAGATTGGAATCTCAGTGGAACTGCTGGAGAACCTGGCCCAGCAGACTCCTGTTGCAAGTGCTGCTGTGTCATCGGTTGATTCATTCACAGAGGTAGCTTGGACAGTCTATTTTCAGAAATTCTCTGTGCTACTGATGTCTTAAGAATTGAGTTTCTGAAAATCTAATTAAAAAAAGAGAGCTGCTGTGGGTGGCTGTAGGATTGTAACCAAGCTAATTGTTGCCACATCATTTGGCCGGATGCTTTGGTATTTTGAAATGACTTTTTCTTGCACTGGAAAACTGTCTACTGTAAAAATGTGATGCTTCCTTATAGGAACAGCAATGACTAAACGCATGTAAGAGACAGGGGGTTTCTGGTGATTTGTAGGTGGTGGAACTCCAGTGCACAGACTTGCAGTGACGGTCAAAAATTACTCAAAGTCAAGGCAGACCCGGGCACGGATGCAGGTACATGTCCAAGTGTGCCACTGACCCTGGAGAAATCCTTGTAATGTCATTCTGCACAATTACAGAATCCTGTCCTCTCCAACAGAAAGATATATTTATTTTTTTGAAGTCTTTCCCTGTGGACCAGGCCTTGGGCTGCAGGACTCGCTATTTTTCACCCAGCCTGGCTGTTAGTTTGAACTTCTGGAAATCCTCAGCCACCAGTGGCAGTTATTTGAAGTTCTTGTGGGAAAGGACATGTAAGTATATGTTCTGATTCCACCAATTTTTATTATAGCAGTAGTTAAGCCATGAAGTAACAATGTGCCACTTCAGGTGATTTGCAGGGTGGCTGGTGGATTCTTCTGGCAATAGGATTTAAAGCAAATTTAAAAAAAAAATAAAAAAACCACACACCAAAAAATAGATGGTAGAGGGAGGGGGCTATGACTGGGAGCATGTTTGTCAAGGACTGATGGCTTTTATTTAATACTTGATGTAGTCTCTTTGGAACCGCTATATTACAGCGGCGAAAGCATTTTTCTAAAGGCAAACTCATCTGTTACTACTTTAAGTTAAGGGGTGGTTCTCCCACTACATTTTTAGTATGTTTTATGAAGCTTTTTCGTTGTGTATTTATTTTTTTATATGGCTGTATTATTTAAAAGTTATATGGATAAAAGTGGGACAAAACTACAAAGTTCTGCATGTGGATGGAGCAAGACAAGTTCTGGGACATCATTTCTTCACTACTACTTGTCAGAGCAGGTGGAGGGAAGCACAGGAGTGCTTATATTGTGCCAGTCTGTTTTCCTCCATCATTTCACTAACTATGAAAATGGTTTGTTCTCCCACGAAAAATAATGTGTGCTTTTTTTAAAAATAGAATAGAAAGGAAAGGAAGGACCACAGGGTTATGTATTTGTGGAGTGGCTGGGCATGTCCTACGGCCTCATCCTCTGCACACAGGGCTTGCTCCTTCTTAGCTTCTCTTGCACTCTTGTACTTCTTTACTCCTACAGTTTAGGAGTTTCTTATGTGTCTTTTTCATGTTTTGTCCAGCAAAAGGATGCCAGGATAGTAGCCCTTTCGTGGTGAGAGCTAAAGGAATTTCCCTGTTGTTGGAGTCTGATGTAGACTGCAGAATTTTCAGCTTGTTTAACAACTGGGGTTTTGCCATGAGCTGGAATGGCAGCTTTGAGCTGGCCTACAGTGCTTCTCATGTTTTAATTTAGAAGAGAGGGACAGCTCTTGTCACTGCATCACTTTCTCCCAAGAAGAAAATGTTCTTCCCAAAGCTTATCCACTTGGATGAAATTGGGCAGGGAGAGGGTGAGTGAAGATTCTGAAAACCATCTCTGGATGTTGGATGGATCTGAGGCCAAGACTGAGCTTTAGGGTGCTACGATCAATTTAAAATTGACATCCCTGGACCTACTGTATCCACTTCCCCATCACGTTTCAGATGGCAATGCTAATTTTACTTCATATAGGAGGTGCATATCTGTTAAACTTCTGCACAAAAATTCAAATTGAAAAAAAAAACTCACTTAAAATGTCTCTTTTTTTAAATTTCAGTTCACTCAGAAGATGTTGGATAACTTCTATAACTTCGCTTCCTCATTTGCTGTTACTCAGGCACAGATGACTCCAAATCCTTCTGAAGCTTTCATTCCTGCAAATGTTGTTCTGAAATGGTAATAATGGCAATGGCCTCTGGAAACAAGTGTTCTTTTTTACTAGGCATTAAACCAGCTGGTTTCAAAGTAGCAAACTACTGTTATGTTATTCAGTGAGATGATGCAAAAACATTTGTGTTTGTGGTTATCCCAAGTACAGAGAGGTTCTATCTGCTGGTTTTGTATTTATTTGTCAGTATCAGCTTTTTTATTAGAAAGGTGCTAATCAGCCTATGAAGTTTTCTTGCTCATGGAACTGTCACACTTGACATGGGTGGATCTGCACCATGTTGCTGGTCATGCAGGTGCTCTGGAGTCATAGGGGGACAGAACACACACTGATATTTCTCAGTTTGTGGTTGGTTGTTACACTTTTTTTTTATTCTTAGATGTAGTTCTAGCAAAGGTACATCGCTTAAGACTATGGGAGAGGTGGAGAAATCATGTTGCTAGTGGGTGGACCTGTCTCTGCCACCAAGACCCTGAGCACAAACACAAATGTCTCTGCAAGTTGTTTTCCAGGGACTGGCTTAAGAACTGGATTAAATCTGGAGATGAACTGTGAACTGCAGGTGGTCCTTTAGGGTGTCTGGAAAATTCTTTGCTGGAGTTGATTAGTTCAGCCTTCTTTAGCCTCTACAGTATTAACCTAAACTCTTTTTAAGTATTTTGGGCTCTCTGAATACAGCTTTATTGTTACTACAGATCTCATGAATATGCAGGCAGTTAATGCAAGCAATCTACAAAGCAATATATTTCCTTTGGGAGCATAACTTGGTGCAGATCTCTTCTGTTCAGAAGGTGACTCTGTGACCACGTGTGGTTAAGGTCTCTGAGAGGCCAAAGGGAAGAGAGGCTAAAGCAGCAGGGAGATGGCTGGTCCTGCCTGGGCAAGGCTGAATTTGCTTTTGGCTGTTGTTCAAAGCAGCATGGTGAGATGAGGTGTGACTCCAATAAGCTGAGCACGTTTATGCATAGAAACCTGTTAGTGTGATTGCAGCTACAGGAGACCCTTGGTTGGCTCTGTTCATGTGCTTGTCAGTCATCATAATGCATTTAATTATAGTAGCTTGTAATCTGTGGAGTATCTTAGGGCTCTGCAAGGGGCTGGTGCAATGGAAATTCAACAGTTGGGCTTAGAAATTCAATCATAAATAAGCCTTTCTCTAATTTGAGTGGGTTTAAAAGCCTTTAGAGTCTCTTTTCTCATTTGAGTTGGGTTAGGAACTGAGATGGAGGAAAAACCTTGTTTTCTTTGATTGGCAGTACCTTTTGATGCCTCACAGCTCGAGTTTGTGGGGATTGAGAAGGGTTCTTAGGCTTTTGTAGCTCAAAGCCTGTAGGCTATTTTATTGTTATTAAAGTCACAGGAAGTGTTTGCTTTCCCTATTTCTTCACTGTAGATCAGTAATGAATTGTGATGTTCAGTTGGTTTGTGGTTGGCTTGTTCCTGTGAGTGTGACAGGTGCAATGAGGACAGCACGTGTTCACACAGGGTTCCATTATGTGTTACATGATTATTTTTCCTCATTATATTTTACTAAAACATTACTGTATATAAAAAAATGTGTGAGTTAGAATTAACATGTTCCTACACAGCATGAGGTTCTCTTGGTCTGGTTTTGCTGGGGTTTCTCCTGTGAGATACCTGGCCTGATTGTTGGGATGATGGGCAGCCTTGGACTCACGCTTCCCTATGCCCAAACTTTGATTTCCTAGCCCAAAAAATATTATAGACAAAATAGCCGCTTCTAATTAACTTAGAATCCTGCTAAGCCTAAATGAGGATCCTCTGGGATATCACTTTAATGGCATGCATACTGTTGTGGAAATACACAAGTGTCACTGGGAATATTATTGATATGGAATCAGAAAGGAGGATTTTACTCATTTCCTGGTGTGGAGTAGATGTAATTTACTGTGTTCTGTACAGCAGGCTGATTTATTCTCCCCACCCCTGGAGACATTCAGGGTCTAGTTAAAGATGTCCATCCATGCTCACTGCAGGGGGGTTGGATTAGATGACTTTTGAAGGTCCCTTCTAACCCAAAGTATTCTATGATGTGTATAATTTTTGAAGCTATTTTATTTGCAACAGCTTTGGGGTTTTTGTTGGGGTTTTTGTTTGGTTGTTGGCCTGTTTTTTTGTTGGTTTTTGTTTTTTTTTTTTTTTTTTCTAGGTATGAGAACTTCCAGAGACGTCTGACACAGAACCCTCTCTTCTGGAAGACATAAGCTTAAATTATGTCATTTGAAGTGCTTCCTAAAGAGCATGACCTGAAAGATGCAGCAAGTAACCCCACTGAAGAATTCGGGGGGGGGGAAATAACGATTAGTCCAAATAGACAAGCTTGTAACTTTTATATTACTCTTGAAAATTATTTAAAATTAAAATCTGTGAAAGCTACTTGCCTATGCTTTTGGTTTTTAATTGAAGCACTTGACTGCAACAAGAAATCGGTGGTCTGATTTCACACAGAAATGTTACCTTGAAACTGCATTTAAAGTGGAAAAAATAAGATGAAAAATGGCAGTGCCGCTTCACAGTTGTGAGACCTTTTGGTGTGTTTTGTTGTGAACAAAATAAATGTAGTTTTTTCTCCTTTAGCTCCTTCTGATAAGGCAGCCAAGAATATGTTGATGGTTTTCCTGCTGGCACTTACACTGGAAGTTCTTTGACTTTGTGTACAGCCAATATTCCTGTCCCTGGCTCACACAGATGGTGTTTCTCTCTCTTTAGTGTGAAGACACCAGTGAGCTTCATCTCAGGGTACCTGTCTCTAACTTCTCCTGTATGAAGGTGTAATGAAGAGGAATTTTTGGGAACTCTTGCCCTGCTGCAAGTCAACTAGCTTTGAAAAAGCCACTGGGTCCAGTTCAGAGCTGTAGATTTGTACTGTGTAGCCCCGGCTGGGGCAGTGAAATGAGAGCTGCTACGTTATTGGCTGTGGAGGTGTTTGATGAATCTGTCTTTCCCTTCAGCTTTCTCTAATTATGGTATGAACAGTGATGTGGAGGAGGAGTGAAATAAGCGTAATGAAATAAGCTATTAGGAGTACAGGTCCCCTAAATGGAAAACCCCCTAAAAGAAAAAAAGGTGGTTATTGCTCATTAGACTTTGAAGTTGAATGTGCCATGCCATGCACATAGCCATGACAGCAATATTTGTTTCCCTTCCTTTTGGGAAACTTTCCAAATCATTTTTCATTCCAAGCCAACATGAACTGTAGTTGAGCAGGGATTCTTTTCACAGGGGCCAGATCTGTTCCTGGGTCTGCCCCCACCTCAGCACCACGCTTGGAGGCAAATGTAAGAATACAAGAAGCAACAAGTGCATGTACTGCTACTGCTTTATGCTGAAACAGAAGCAACATTCATGAAAAGTAGCCAAAAATCTAATTATGGAGAAGGCTTTTCTGTAGTTTTGGTTGTTTGCTTTTTAGAAGAGTTACAACACTGAAATGAAGCAAATATTTCTCTGGCACGCAGCTCAGGCTGGCAGGTCAGCGTTCTCAGGTGAGCCTGAAGCCTTCCCTGCAGCACTGGCAGAGGGAGAACTTCTCTTGACTTTCAGCCATGGAACCAGAGCTCCCAAACATCACCAGTGGTGAAACGGCACAAACGCACCCCAGAGACCTCACATCCTACATATATGAGGAAGGGCAAAGTCAATCCACATCTGCATGACATTTTTTGGCTTAAAATTAGAAGCCCAAGAACCTGATTTAAAATTACTTTGTGGTAACTTTTTTGTTTTCATACAGTCGCCACCAGATGGAGTAAAACCCCAACAAACAGATACAAACAGGCTCTTAACCTTTACTGAGGAGAGACCCTTCCAACTGAACCACTGTTTTAACAAAACGGTTAGGAACCTGTTTTCTACTTCCGGCTGTGCTACAAACTTTTTTGCTGACTCTGGACAAAGTCTATGCCTAAAAATTAAGATTATAATCGAAGCTAATAATTTAGCCAGTTTTCAAGTCTAAAAATTGGTGGAGAAAGACAAGGATCTCCAGCTATTTCCTCTCTCCAGCTATTTTTTTTTTCTATGAAGGGAAGAAGGATGAATCTCTTCAAAGAGATGCTCAGTGTTGAAATAGTTGAAGGAAACAATGGCTTTCAATTTTTCTTGTACTCTTTACACAGAGTTTATACAGAAGAGACATTTGTAACATGTCAGGAATCTCCTATACAGATGTAATCTCCTGCAGCCTCCTGAAACAGTTTCCTGGCTGTACTGTCAGGAGGTGGGAACCAGGCAGAGCCCAACTTCACCTCTCCCTCATCAGCCTTTTGCTGAGGTGAGAGACAGAAGGAGCTAATTACCAAATCTCTCAAAGACCAGAACTATGGAGACAATGGCAAATAAACATGTGTTAATGTCTTTGGGGATATTTTGGTTTCTCCAATACTAGGGTCAAGCCACACTTCTTTTTCTAAAGGCCTTAGGCACTGGAGCTCTCAAGGTATGTCACATGAAAATATATTTTTAAAAGTTTAAAAGTTTTGGAGAATATGAAGCTCCTTTTTAAATTATTTTGCAATTATTATAACTCTACTAGCTCTGTATCTTCCAGAAGACACACAATAAATATAATTTTTTTCCCCTTTTTTAGTCTAGAATTGGGCAACCCTAAGAAGAAAACACCCCAATGAAATAATACACAACTATTCACTTGAGCTTTATGGGTCTGAGTGTTGACAAGGAGGGGTTTTTCCCTTGTGGTCTGTATTCAACAAGATATTGATCCTAAAAGCAGATGGGGGCTGGCTGTTGTAAAGGAGAATTTTTTTCTTCCCTGTGGCTCAGTCCAGCTCTACTTTTGCAAGTTCATATTCTCTAGCTTTTCCCTCCGTTAACACTTTAAATCTGATTTCACATCCATCCAGGTTTCTCAGGGCAAACCTGCTGGAACACTTGTCTGCATTCTAAGAGAACAGTCCTCAGCACATTTCTAACTTAGCACAGAAGTGAAAGCTGCCCCTAATTGTGATGGGCCTCTCCCTAGTCCAGCACCACCCTTCCTTTCCTTCCTCTCAAAGGGAGCAGCTCAGCTGTCAGAACATAGCACTTCCACACCAAAACAACCACAGCCAAAAAAACCCTGTTGCTTCTGTATCCCATTCCACTCTCAGCCCTGGATGTGGGAAAACGTGGGAGAGGCTGGATCATACTGTGCCAACAGTTGTGTAGCTGCAGTAGAACTAGAGGTCAACAACCACCTCCAGCTCACCTGTGAGCACAAGTGGGCTGAAAGAGGGAGACCTATGCAGGTATTTTGGTCTTCTCCCTCCACTGCTTGGGCCTAGTTCTGCCCGACTCTGTGGTGGTTTTACACTCGGCTTCGTGATCACATCCCCATGACCAGTGAGTCAAGGGCACCCCTTCTGAGAAGGAGCGCACTGGCCCCTTGGCTTCAGTGTGGAAAAGAAGGTCCAGAATGCAGCTCAGCTGAACACTAGTTTTGGACAGACTTGCACTACAACAGTACAACTGTAGCTCCCCACCAGTAAGGATTTAAAAGAGGGGAAAAAAAAAACAAAAAAAAAAAAAAGGGGAGAGGGACTAAGATTTGTAAACTACTTGTGAAGTCCAAACTAAGTCTTGTAAGACACTGATGAGGCCATTTGGGGATACTGACAATAGAGGCAATTAAAACATATTTTCAATATTTTTCCAGTGACTGCCTTTGATTTACAGTAATCAGAGAAACTAGAGCCAGAATCCAGTAAAGCAGCGTGAGCTACAATAAAAAAAAAAAATATACAGCCAGTGTCCAGTAACAGAACTGGTGAAAAGTACATCCCAAATTTACCTTATTAAAACTTGCAAATTGAGGAATCACCGAAGCGTGGGGGTTGGAAGTGACCTCTGGAGCTGATCTGGTCCAAGCCCCCTGCCACAGCAGGGTCACCCAGAAATGTGTCCAGGTAGGTTGGAATCTCTCCAGGGAAGGAGATTCCACAGCCTCTCCTGGGCAGCCTGCTCCAGCTCTTCATCACACTCACAGAAAAGAAGCTTTTCCGTATGCTCTGCTGGAACCCTCTGGGTTCTAGTTTGTGCCCATTGCTCCTTGTCCTCTCACTGGGCACCACTAGAGAGGAGTCTGGCCTCAGCCTCTTGCCCCCTCTTGATACTACTGATCAGGACTTCTCTTCTCCAGGCTAAACAGCCCCAGGGCTCCTCAGCCTTTCATCATCAGAGAGAGGTCCAGTCTTCTCAGCATCTTTGGAGCCTCTGCTGCATTCTCTCCAGTAGTTCCCTGTCTCTCCTGAACTGGTGAGCCCAAAACTGGACACTGTACTCCAGATGTGACCTCACTAGGACAGAGTAGAAGAGGAGGAGAACCTCCCTTGACCTGCTGGCCACACTCTTCTTAATGCATCCAGAAAGAAAGGAGTTCAAAATATTTTTAGCACTAATTTACCATTTATTTATACAGGATTCCCAAGCATAGTATTTCCTCTGTGTGTTCCCTGGATAATATTCAACAGCTTCATGATGTTTTCAGTCAAAAAGTCACAAGTACAACTGCGAGCACACATGTGCCATATTTCTAGCAAGTTACTCTGCATTTATGCAATAGCTGTACACAAAGCAACTTCGTAGGCCATAAGAGAAAACTCCTTGTGGGAAATAATTAAAATGGACAGTCCAGAAAACTTTACAAAAATACTTCTTTTTATTAAAAGCAGCAATTCCAAGCAGAACAATACACAGAATGTAAACATCACTAAGTTCAGCTCCAGCCTGCCGAACCTTTGAGGAAGTCTACACTAAATGCATCTACTGTACTAGCAAGTTAACAGACTATATTAAAATTTGAAAATATATTTTCTACTTTGAATTAAGAAAAAGTAATTTATCGTAGCCTGTCCCAGCGCCAGATACTGGCGTCATCACACACAGCTATAAGGATGCTGCTGTCCCTGCTGAAACTGGTTTGTCGGATGGCAGCCACACATTTGGGATGAGTAAGGGTCGTACACCTACAAATAAAAGAAAATTATCAGCTGCAACATTAGATCTGCACTGGCTGGTACCTGC